TTCATCGTCTAACTTTGCTTTTCCTGCTTTTAAAAGAGACGGGAGTTCAAGTAGTATTTTACCAGTCTTTTCTTCAGTAAAGGGAACAAAGAAAGCAACTTGGTTGATGATGAAGTTCCGCCTGTGAAGCCGACTTGATTCCACTGCTAGAATAATAGCCCGTGTTTATCCAGAATTTTCTATGTGTTAGGCACTGTACACTATTTCCTTGACCCCTCCTAACATTCCTATAAAATAGGTGCTAACACTGTGTCCCTTTCTTAGGTGGACATAGTGAGAGGCAGAAAGCAGAGGCCACAAGCACCTGCTCCCATGGCCAGGGTGGTGGCTCAGAATCTGTACCCAGGCTATCTGCATCCAGGGTCTAAATAAGGCTGGGGGCCAGTAAGTATCAGTGAGTCTTTATGACTTGAGAGGGGAAGAGTCAGAGCTGGGCAGGGGACACGGGGAGGTGATGTCAAATCACAGAATGTCTCAGAGCAGCCATGTTGGGTGTACTCTGTTCTTGGAAATCCCCAAAGTTTTGAGAACCTTCTAGAAGCTTCTGACTTGGGCATTCTGCCCCTTTGAGAAGGCTCCTAAGTTTGCTCATCCTTCCTGGGGCAGGAGAAGTAGTGGTTTTGGAAACTACAGATGGAGCAGCAGATGGGAAGTGAAAGTCTATCAGAGTTGCCCAGGATAAAACCATTCATCTGCAAAATTCATATGTTTTTGCATGGGGCGACTTCACAGAAACAATGGCAAGAGGAACCAGCAGTGCTTGATGCAGAAAGTGCCTCTGGCCATGAGGCTGGCAAAGTGAAGTGGGCAGAAGAACTGGAGAGGGGTGTGTGTGCTGGAAATGATAGCAGTGAGGGTAGATGGGGAGAAAGATGGACTCACAGAGGCACAGACAGACCTGGAGAATTAAAGCTAAACAAGCTAAAAATACCATGACTCCCTTCTCTGGAGCCCAAAATAGGTTTGGCACAGGCTCTAGGAACGGATTGCTGGGCTCCTCAGACATAGAGGAGGTTCAGCCCTGGATACAGCTCAGGAATTAACAGTTGACATTTACTGGGCCCTTTGCAAGCGCCTGACACTCTGCTAGGTACGATCCCCTCCTGATTTCACAGAGTGAACTCGCAGATGGTCACACGGCTAGTGAAGTTAGCGGACCTTGGACTCAGGCCCTAAGCCAAAGGATGGGACTCGGGGCACCCACCCTCGGGGATGCGGAAGTGCTAGGGATCCTGACAGACCACCTGGCCCAGGTGGTGTGTCCATGGTTGTGGCAAATCAGCACCAGGCCCCTAGGGGGCAACCTCGAGGCCTGGTGTGAGTCTCCTGGGAACGGCCCTGGACACATGAACGCCCACTGGACCTCAAGAGGTCTTTGGCCGAGGGTTACAACTCGATCTAGGCGGAGGTGACCTCAGCCTCCACTGGAGGTCCCCAGGAAGAATGACCAGGCTCAGGACAAGAGGGGACTTTCCTGCCTCCAAGGACCCTCTCTCATGGCATTCCCTGAGGGGCGGGGCTGTTTCCTGCTGTGCGCTCCAGGTAGCCAGGGGCCATCCTGCCCCTCTGGGCCCAGCTGACTTCCCCATGGAGCCAGAAAGAACACCAACCTTGGAACTGGACAGAACTGGTTCTCAGTTCCGATCTACCATGTATTTCCCACATGACCTTGGGTCTCAGTTTGCCCTTGTGTGAAACAGGTTTGCTTTGGGGTTGAATGAAGTGTCTACCTCATTAGATGTTATGCCAACATTTGAACTCAGTCCTTTCTTGGGAGGCAGAGGGACAGTGTCCTAACTCACCCCCTGCCCTGTGCTTCTCTACACTCACATCTCCTCATTCTTTTATTATATTCCATCTGTTTATAAATTTCTCAAATGCAGCAAGTTCAATCTGTGACCCATGTCTTGTCCAGAGTGTTCTCTCGTTCAAGAAGTGTTTTCAGCTGGGGGGCGCCTGGGTGGCTTAGTCAGTTAAGTGTCCGACTTTCGCTTAGGTCATGATCTCGCGGTTCCTGGGTTCGAGCCCCGCGTCGGGCTCTGTGCTGACTGCCAGCTCAGAGCCTGGAGCCTGTTTCAGAATCTGTGTCTCCCTCTCTCTCTGACCCTCCCCTAGTCACGCTGTCTCTCTCTCTCTCCTAGAAATAAATAAAAATATAAAAAAAAAAAAAGAAAAGTGTTTTCAGCTGGAAGCGTTTTTGCCCCTTGGAGACATCGGGCAACATCTGGGGACATCTGTGGTCATCCCAAATGAGTTGGGTGGGGGGAGGCACTACGGGATCCAGTGGATCGAGACCAGGGGCTGCTGCTAATGTCCTGCTGTGCACAGGACAGTCCCCACAACAGAGCCATCCAGCTCAGTATGTCGTTAGCGCCTCGGTGGGGAAATCCGAGTCTAGAACCATCTCTTTCTCATTTGCCTAAAAACCCTTTAATTCTTCATTTCTCAAGTCAAAACTGCATGTTCTAGAGGACTTTATGACCTCCTGACCATGTCCACCACCCCCAACACACCCCTGCTTTCCAGCTCTTTCACACCTTGCATGGCGCCTCTAATTCTACTTTCCCAGCTAAGGGACCTACTCCACCAGGGAGGGCCTGGGACGCTGCTGCTCACTGAATGCCCAGTTAGTGCCCAGCGTAGGAGTTGCCTAACGAATGCTGTGGAATGGGCCCCTAAACAAATGGGTAGGTAACTAAGTGAAAATCTGCCAGCGAGGTTTCATCATCTGCTTACCCTGCTATCCTGTGAACAAAAGCAAACAGGAATGTTTCTAAGGATCATTTTTCTCAGGTTCAAGGGTGCCAGATGGACCCTGCCTGAACTGGCCAAAGATTGTGCCCCTCCCCAGGTCCCTGCCAGGGCTCAGGGCTTCCCAGCCAACAATGAGATGCCACCAACCAAGGACGGAAGGAGAGCACCAGGAATCGATCATGAAGGAGACAGAGATTATTTCTAGCTTTAAATGAAGACCATCCCTCCACACCCATATCTTATTTGCTTCCTGATTCAAAACCCAAACTCTGGGGGATGTGTGATCTCAATAGTTGATGACATTAAGAATGATGGTTTAGGTGTGATCATCATGTGTATATTAGGTTAAAAGAGAAGGGTGCCTGGGGGGCTCAGTCAGTTAAGAGTCTGACTTCGGCTCAGATCATGATTTGTGGGTTCGAGCCCCACGTCGGGCTCTGTGATGGCAGTTAGCTCAGAGCCTGGAGCCTGCTTTGGATTCTGTGTGTGTCTCTCTCTCTGACCCTCCCCTGCCCATGCTGTCTCTCTCAGAAATAAATCAAACAGTAAAAAAAAAAAAAAGAAAAGAAAAGAAAAGAGACCTTATCTTTCCAGGAGGTATAGGGAAACACACACACAGCTACGTGGTATCTCGGGAGTGCTTCAGTGGGGCCACGGGAAGAAGGGGAGGGTACAGACACGTCAGCACTGGCCACGGCCTGCTTCCAGCTGAAACCAAGCAATGTGTATGCGAGGGTTCCCTATGCTGTTCTCAGCACTTGTATGCATGTTGGAAAACTGCCATGATAAAAATGTTTTTTTTTAATATTTTTCTTATTCTTAATTGAGAGAGAGAGAGAGAGAGAGAGAGAGAGAGAGAGAGAGAGAGAGAGAGAGAAAGGGAGCAGGAGAGGGACAGAGAGAACCCAAGATACAGAGTCTGAAGCAGGCTCCGAGTTCTGAGCTGTTAGCACAGAGCCTGATGCAGAGCTCGAACTCATCAGTCACGAGATCATGACCTGAGCCGACGTCAGATGCTTAACCGACTGAGCCACCCAGTGCCCCAAAATGTTTTTCTTTAAAAGACGCCTTCGTGTGACTCTTGTGTGGAAGGTACTGTCCTGACCCAACCCTTGCACCACCAGAGGAAGACAGCACCACACCCCCACTGCCCTAGTCAAGCAAAGAGCTGCCTTCTGGCAGGAAACACATTTTGTTTTCCCCTCTTACAAGATCTAGAGGAGTGTCCGTTGTTATGGCCGATCTTAAAGCACAGACCAGCGTTCGGGTGAAGGGACAGACGTTTGAAGGGACAGAAGCTCCTGGTGGCATGTGAGCTTCTCGGTGCCTCGGGGCTGCTGGCCACCCCACCAGCTTTACACCGTTGTGGCTGGCGGCCAGCAGGCCCACGTGGGCAGATGTTGGAGGACAGCTTGCCGTTTGATGCTCTCATGTGAAACCTCCCAGTTTTAAAATGTGGGCAAACCACTGCTTTCTTAACAGTTGTTAGGGAACAAGCACACAGACCCGTGGGCGTCCAACGGTCCCAAAACGCATGTCTGTGATTCTGTGGGGCTGTCACAACTGACCTCCCTCCCTCCACTCCACTCCCCTTTCAAACACCTAAGTCTGACCTTGTCCTGGCTCTCATCAAACACGCCAGTGATGCCCAGATTCTAGAACCAACATCATGTTACCCCTGGAACCTCTGACCTCTTAGCACACTCTGTTCCAGCCACACCGACACCCCCAGCACACCAGGCGCATTGCCAGCAGCCGCGGCTCCCTCCACCTAGACCACTTTCCCCGTCAGAGTGGCTCATTCCTCCTCCTCTGTTCGTCTCCGTAAGGACCTCCCCAGCCACTCATCAAAATCACAACCCTCTCCTGCGGCCATGTTCTGCTTGGTTCTTCTCACGTGGCACTGTACTTGTTAGTGGTCTCCCCCACTTGAATGGAAGCTCCATGTGGGTAGGGATTTTATGGTCTCTGCGGCGTACCCCTGAATAGAGCTGGGAAAACCACGCACTCAGTGAATAAACTCCTGCTGGATGAGCGAATGAACGCACCCGTGATGCTCACGTCCAGGGGGGATCCCGTGTTAAGACCTCACACGTGAGGTCTCCACGGCATGTCACAGAGGCAGAACTGCTTCCCCAGACCAGCGGCCACGTGCCTCTGTCTCTGGTTTCACAGCTCTGACCAAGGGAAACGAGAGGAGGCCAAGACCTCAGAGCAGGCTGGCATGGGGCCACAGGCCGCCTTAC